CAACATAAGGAGCTGTTTATCAGAGACAAGCCAGGGGTTGTGTGATTTGTTGTGTAAATTGAGGACCTGCCGGTTTGTCTTGAAAACCCTCAGGCCTGTTAATGGGTTACAAAGGATGTCACCAAGAAGGGAGCGGCATGATGAGGCCTGTCTGACCTCCCTCCTCCTGGCAGACAATTCAGTTTTAGGATATTCCTTTGGCCACGAAGGGGTCCATTTAGTCAGCCGATGGGGGGGGGTGAGCCTTAAAATTTTATTTCAGTTCACGTAAGCGCTTACTTTTCTTTAAGCCAGTTAATTAGAGCTCTTTTACATACTTTGGTAGTGAAACATTGTGTAGACATGACATATATGGACATGTAAACGCACAGACACAGAAGTAGACAATTTTAGGTGAAACAAGGCAGAAAATTCTATAGTTTGAAAGCCCAGAGCACACCAAGGGAAAGTTGTACGTAAAGTTTCAGTTAAGTTTTTTTGTGTAAGTCAGAGGGAGGAGGCCATAAGCTCTTTTCCCAGTGGGGTAGTTGGGAGGCACAAAGGGTGGGCAGATACTTTGTCTCCCAGTGGACAGAGAAGCTGTGGGGTACACAGGGGGTGCGTTTTACCTTTTACTCTGACGATGGGGGAAACAGAGGCCTGAAACTTGAGGAGGAGCAGAGGACGGGGCTCCAGTGTTCTCACCTGCGCCAAGGAGTCACCAAGGCTCGGCTGTCCCGGGGTGTCCAAGTTCAGTCTGTCCCGAAGCCGGACGAGCTGTTAGATTGGAGCAGTGTCAGAGGGTCCGTGGGTGGGAGGATGCCCGTCCAGGCTGGGCCAGCCAGTTCCGGAATGTGGGTGCGATCTCCCCATTTTAAGAAGAGGACACCCGCTTTACGGTGCCCTTTTGTCGGAGGGGGCGCGGTCCTGGCGGAGCCCGTCTCCTGGGATGTTTTACTCTGGAGACCCAGAGTCCTAGTGGAGGCCGGTGGAGGCCGGCTGGGTTCCCGTGGAGGGGTGTGGCCTTGTCGTCTACCGGCCTGGGGCCTTTCCAGTGACGCCCTGGAGAAATTCCTTTACCGGGCAGCCACGACTTGAAAAGCTTTTTTCTGTTTTGGGGGCTGTTCTTGGTCCCACTCTCTTTCCTTCGCCTCTCCCCATCGTGGTTATTAAAGACCTTGAAGGCCGGGATTAGGAGATCTTTTGTGTGGGGTGTGAGGGTCTCCATCTAATTTTTTGGAGCTTGCACTGGATGTCAGACTTGGGCTGGGAAGTGCGTGTTGAGGAGGAGAGTTCCCTCAGGAGTTCCTACGTGATGATCCCACAGTGGGGCTGTTTCAGGGACAGAGAGGGGCCCGCTGGTGGACGGGGCAGTCTGTGGATTTCATCGCCATGTGTCTGGGCATTAAGCCCAGCCCTCTCCTCCTCCTCGGGACAGAGTGGAGGAGAGAGTAGCGTCGAGGTCGTGCCAGGTCAGATCATAAGAGCGAGTTAAATAAAAGGGACTGTTAGGTCCGGAGCCGAGAGAGACACACGCGAAGCCTCGTGTGTAGGGAAATGCTGTTTATTTTGGGCAGGTGGGTGCAGATGGGTGGAGGCCAAAGAGCGTCCCCCCGAGGGAGGGGAAGCCTTGGGTTTTATGGAGGGTTTCTCGGGGGAGTGAGCACCTGGGCCAGAACAGCCGCTGCAATAAAAATTTTTTTTTTTTTCAAACAACCAATTTCTGGGACCCCTGGGTCAGTCTCATCCTGTAGAGATGGGGGGTCGTTCCGTCCGTGTCGGGGGGATGGGAGCGCGGCTGCAGCTGTCTGGTAGGTGTCCAACCTTGGGGACGCTCCAGGCTATGGATTCGCAAACCTCGGTTTTCCATTAACCACGTTCTGTCCCGTATGTACTTCTCGAGTTCCCACCTGGAACAAACCTGACAGTCCACCTTTTTTATTATATACGTATAAGACAAGGAAGGGTAAGGTGTGGGGAAAGGGGAAAGATTAAAAATTAGAAAGATTGGGAAGTGGGCGTCTTTCTGACAGCTTTTTCCTCTTCCTGGAGTTTTGGTTATTTCTCAAATGTCACCAGCCCTACTGCAGGGGGTGTGGTCTTTGTCCCTGAGATTTGGTTCCGGGGCAGGAAACGAAGGCCTGAGTTTAACCCCCTGCGGTCTGTCCGGGAGTTTCTCAGGAACACCTGGAGGCTGTAAAACAAATTCTAAAAGCTGTGAGCTGGGGAAACGTAAGGAGAAAGATTTACATTTTTTCCCCTTGGGCTGTTTTAGGTGTTTGTGAAAATAGCCCCAGCAGGTGGCCTGCTGGTTTGGGGGAGACAGCAGAGCGCAGGGAGAGCTCAGAACTGATTGTCAGCTGTCATTAGAAAACTGGGAGATTCAAGGCCACCCTAACATTTCTCTTTTCTGATGTTAAAATTAAATTTTCATGCAAAATGAGCTCAGAAGTTGGGAAAATGGGCGGAGATCTTTCTTCTGTAGCTTCTTGGAGCTGAGCAGGGGTGTGGAGATCTGTGGAGTTCCTTTATTAAAAGGGAGGGGTTGAGAACGCACGGTCTTGAAGTTCGAATAGAGGCAGGATGGAGAGAAATGGTCAGGGCCTGGGTTTGGTTTCATATGAATGTCCCTAGATAGTGGAGCATGGAGGGTTTGAAATGAGAGTTGAAAGCAGAGCCACTAGGGACCTTAGCGAAGACTGTGAGGCCACACATGAGAGGGCAGAGAGGTCTCCTGGACTTAGGAGATGAGGATGTCACAGAGCGCCCACGGTGGGGGGGTGGAAAGCCTCTAGGCTGCAAGTGCTGCGGTCCCTTTAAGAAGCCGCCCAGTGAGTTTCATTGCTGGCAGGTGGGCGCCGGGTGGGGGTGGCGGAGATAGACAAGGAACCAAACCGAACCCACTAATTTTTATCTCCTGAAATCGGTGTTTATGTTTTTATACACCTGTCTCTTTTGCAATAGTCCTTAGGCCTAGAGAGGATAAATTAGGTTGGGCCAGGTGGAATTTAATAGTTTAAATCCTGGAGATAACTTTGCTATTTACTTAATACTATTTCAGTGGCTTTGGAAAGCAAAGCAAGAGAATTAATAATGTTTCAAATAAAAAGTCATAAAAATTTTAGTTCTATGACATTTTCCAAAGAAGCAAATCTTGGACTGTAGTTGATTATAAACTGTTGTTTAAGAAGAATCGGAGCAAAACAACCACCATGCGTGGATGGTAAAGATTCCACAACAGTCACGGTCACAGAGGTAAAGGAGATTTGGTGATTTTTGTGACACATAATTTAGCATGTATAATTATTGATAATATATATCAAGGCTTACCAGAACTTTAGGAATTTCACGCAGCCTTGGGCAGGTATTTATAAGAGAAAATCAATATTTTAAGAAAACTGTTTTATCACCTACTAAATTGTTTCTTAAATTTCCTTTATAAACTCTATTCCAACTGCACAGACCATCTACCAAACATGCCTAAAACTGTTTTGTCCTAACCTTCCCATTTCCTAAATAACCAGTCATTTAGGACAAAAAAATTCCATACAAGATCCTTTCTTACCAAAAATGTATTTCCACACTCACTGCCTCCTTACATCTTTCTGTTACAAGTTAACTTTCTATTTTGTTTTTAATGAAATATTTGATGTAAGCCAATTAATTAGAACTCTTTTACATACTTTGGTAGGGAAACATTACATATACATGGTCAAAGATACAGAAATATAGACAGTTTTAGGTGAAGTAAGGCAGAAAGTTTTATAGTTTGAAAGCTCAGAGCCTCCCGGGGAAAAGTTGTATGTGAAGTTTCAGTTAACATTTTCCATAAGTCGGAGGGAGGAAGCCATAAGGAGAGAGAGACACACGAAGCCTCGTGTGTAGCAAAAAGCTGTTTATTTTGGGCATCTGGGTGCAGATGGGTGGAGGATGAAGAGGCGTCCATGAGAGAAAAGGGGAGAGCCCTGGGTTTTTTAGAGGGTTTTCCGGGGGAGTAAGTGGCCAGAACAGCCGCTTGTAATTAATTTTCTTTGCAAACAACCAGCTCCTGAGGCCCCAGCCCCATCACACCTGTCCTTCAGCTCCGGCCTCAGCCTCGTCCTTTTCAGGGAGCTAGGGACGGCAGCCTTCCTCTCTATCGGGGAGGAAGGGAGGGGAAGGAACCCCGGCTGCAGCCGTCTGTCAGATCTACAGAGCCCGGGGACTCCCCAGACTCCTGCTGCTGCTGCTTCACAAGGCTGCGTTTTGTGTTAGCCACATTCTGTCCTATACATACTTTTCGGTTCCCACCTGGAACAAACCTAACAATTTCTGGCTCCTGTGCAGACGCTGCGTTTCCATCTCCAGCCGTCAAACTCGCTCTTTCCCGTCCTCCTCTCTCACCGGCATTGGCTTTCTTGTGTGCATTCAAGGAGCTCCTACTGCATGCTCGAGATCTCACGGGCAAAACAGGAGATTGCACCAGCCTCTTTCCCTGGGGTGTGTGTGTTTTGGTAAAGAGACTGGCGGGGGGGCGGCTCCTGTGAGGATAGTGGGAGGTTTTGCAGCCACCTCGGCTGCTGTGGGATGGGGGGTGGGTGTGGAAGTTTTCTGTGAGCCAGGATGTGAAGAGGAAGGAGCCAGAGGGTTACCGCCAGGGGCTGTGCGCTAGGCAGGGCAGAGCCCCCGAGGCGGGCATGAGCTCCGTGCGCCAGGACCAGCGTGGCCGGGAGGTGGGTGCTGGATCGCAGAGGGCTCAGGTGCGGAGAGGTACTGGCTCCACTGCAGCTGCCGTGGGAGGCCACTGCGTGGCTTTGCCCAGCGAGTGGCACCTGCTGCTTTGTGTTTCAGCTTCTCTGAAGGCCGCGTGGAAGGTGGGTTGTGGGGGCCGAGGAGGAGCCAGAGACTCATCGGGAGGCTCTGTGGGTCTCTCTCCTCGGCCTTCGCAACCTCAACTCGGGTCCTCGGCTTCTGTGTGCTCTGCGCCCCCAGCCTGGAGGGCTCTAGCCCATCCACCTGGTCTCTCTTACTCTTTTGTGTAGGTCCAACCTTTTCTGCCACCGTGGCTGACTGAACCAAGCCGTGTCAGAAAGGACATCACTGAAGGCCTGGTTCCCATCGAGGACATCCCCGAGGTCCACCCTGACCTGCAGAAGCAGCTGCGGGCACAGGGCATCTCATCCTATTTCCCAGGTGCCCGGTCCCGGCAGGTGGATGGGGGAGGGCGCCTCCTGGAGCATCCTCAGGCAGGGCTGGGAATGACCCCGGTTCGGGAGCCCCCACTATGTCCGGCGGCCTTGGGCCCTGGTGCCATCCTCCAGGGAGGGGTTCCCAGGCCTCCAGCAACGCAGCTGGAGGTCACAGCCGGGAAAGTCGCTGATCCTGGCACAAGCGGGACTTGTCTCTCGCCCTTCCTCGTCCAGTCCAGGCCGCCGTGATTCCTGCCCTCCTGGAGAGCGCAGCCAGCGGGTTTCTGGTGGGCAGAGGGGGCTACCAGCCCAGCGACCTCTGTGTTTCTGCCCCAACGGGCAGCGGGAAGACGCTGGCCTTTGTCATCCCTGTGGTTCAGGTGCGTGTCAGGGTCCCACCCCTGCAGCAGGGGTTTGGCGGGCGGGGATCCAGCATCGCTGACACGGCCAC